GAACTTGTCCCAGGTCTTATGGCGCAATAAGACTACAAAAGCTTCAAGAATGCCCGGGGAAAGGATGAAAGAGGTTAAGGGAGGAAGAGTAGCTGAAGGTAGGGTACTTGTCCAGCTGCAAGTTACAGTACAATGGTCGCTGTCAGGAAACTTCGGACCAACTGTGGCGGTGGGACACAGATAGCCGTTGACAAGGGCAATGTCCAGGGTGTGGGTACCGCGTGTTGGCTGCCTTACAAGCTGGGATCAGCCCTCGACATTAAGTTGGGTAAGCAGGGGCAAAAGGCGCAAAGGGGAGTTTTGCTGAGATCGGGCAATCTCAGGAAGGTTGAGATCCCCAATAATTACTTTGTTCGGGTGAGGCAGAGCTTGAGTGTGTGAAAGAAGCGTAGACAGGCAATAAATCGAACTAATGGAGTGTGGAGGGGGCATGTGCAAACACCCGAGGATGAACGGTGGATTAGCCCGACAGGCAGAAAGCCAGAGTCTAGAGTGTCCGCCAGTAGTGGATCGTCAATGGTGAAGACTTCCATTTCAGTTCTGGCGTATATGAGGCAGCCACCTCCACGGCGGTGGGAACGATCAGAACCGAAGATAGGGTATCCCGGAAGGGAGATACGGGCATCAGGTATGCTAGGAGAGAGCCACGTCTCTGCGATGCAAATGAAGATTGGACGAGCTAAAGTGGAGATGGCTTGGATGTAGTGCAGTTTAGGTAAGAGAGAGCGGGTGTTGATTAGAACGACAGAAAGATTGTTGGCGGGATCGCAAGAGGTGGCCAGCAAGAAGTTGGCAAGCCTAGGGAGGTCAGTATGTAATGGACTAGAGACAGTGGAATTGGGGGTTCTCGAATTAGTAGGCGAAGTGGGACCAGGTGAAGATACCTGAGAATAAGATAATGGGGCGTACCGCGATGGGTACCGAGGCTGGCAGGGGAGGTAGCGGAGCTCCATGGACAAAGAGTAACAGGCTGGGTCATGCAATCGTTTGTAATAATGTAATCGACACAGTCAGGAGGTGGTATCGTGTGTGGTAGCTCAACAGAAACAGCAGGATTTATGTCACGCGGGATGGAAGGGCAGGAGAAGTGTTTAAGAGACAGGGAATGAGAGGGTAAGAAGAGGGCACCTAGAGGTCGAATGGATCTGCTTTGTATAGCTTTCAGCATCGAATCGCAGGGGGCTGAGGGAACGGGTAGCCAAACTGTGCTGATTGGAGTAGACGGAATAAGAGGATTATGGTAAGAGATGCAGGGTGAGGTGAGGGGACATTGTGCAGTGAGTAAGTTAGTGGTATAATCAAACTCTCCGAGAGGGGTGAGCTCCGTTGGGAGCGAGCAGGAATCATCTGCGTTGGCTGTAGTTGAAGGGGGGTTGGAGTAGAAAGTCAGGGTACAGCTAAAGGTCGTAGAGGTGGGGCTGCACGTGGCTTTGGAGGGGACGGAGGCTGTGGTGGAGTAGGTAGTTGCTGAAAAGGGATCCCAGGCATATAGTACGTAGGTTTCCAGAGGAGCGGAACTTGATAGGGTTTAGGATTACGTAACGGTAGTTGTGGTTTAGGGACCCTGTCAGACGACTGGGTTACACGGCTAGGGGTGCTACAGATGTGCTTATGAGGAATTACGGGTTTAGTCAGGTTTGTAGAAGGGCGAAGAGCAGGAGCTCGGGGAGTTGGCACAGGAGAAGGGGTTACGGTGTGAGGCTTGGACAGCAGGAGCTTGAGTCCAAGGAAGCGCTCTGGTGGGGAGACACGAAGTGTCATTAGGTCAGGAGGTCTAAAGTGAGAACCTATGCTATCAAACTCGACCACAGCCTCATATGTGGGCTGATTAGGTACCGTATCTCTTAAATAAGCAGTCGATCTCGTTTGCGTGGTGGAGGTCAGAGATGACATTTGTGGATGCATAGAGATAGGAGTGGAGGGCTCATGGTCATGAGCGTTGGGTACAGGACCTCGGTCCAACAGACAGCTTTGTGCGGCATTGTGGCACTCGTCAGCGCAAGTATTGGTGGGTGACGGGACAACAGGTTCAGGTGACTTTTTGGTAAGCTGTCTTTTCATTCTTGTACGAGCAGCTTAAAGTTTTAAGGTATGGAATTTTTTGGTAGCTGAGAGAAGAGTCCGAGCTATTAGCAGATGCGCGGCATCTTTTTCATCCCGGAATTGCATTATCGGGAAGCACATAGATGGTTTCGACTTCCGGAGCCGCCGAGCTTTGCATATGGTGTCCTGCATGCCACATGCATTCGGGATGGCAGTTTTGGCATGCTCAAGCGGGATCTGATTGGATGCATTGAATGTTAAGACTTGATGCCCGCATTCGATGCGCTGACTAATCTCAGTAGCCATCGTGTCAATAAGAAGTTACGCATTTTCTAAGTTTGTTTGATTGCATGTTGCGTCAGCATTCAGAAGGCATGTACTCGATTGTATGTTTCGGAGGGAGGACATTTCGTTCTCCATTTGGCGCACACGTGTTTTGAGATTTTCTAGGTCATTCAGGACTTCAGAACTTACTGGCAACGGTGAGAGAGTGCTGCCGGGTTGAGGAAGCAAGAATATGTCAGTTAGAAAAACTGAACAATCTGAGGTTGCCTGGGATACTGTATTTACCAGCTTCGAGAGGTGAGGGGCTTTGGAGCTATATCTTCTGGATCTAAGCCGCTTCTTTGGACATGCTGGGAGGATAGCTGATGAAGATTCGAGGTCTAGCGACCGCTTTGAGGAAGACGGAAGCGGTGTCATAATGGGAAACCTTGGAGCAGTTTGAGGAATGATGGATTTGGTGGAATACAGTTGAGAGTTCTAAAGTAGTAGGAGAACTATGGATTGTATTAAGAGGATCACAGTCAGTTTCAGATACCTATGTGGGCTGGTAGTTCGGATAGGACTGTGGAAGCGTGGACACTATGTGGAACGACTACGTAGATGAGGGCTAAGCACGCTCTACAAACTGGGGCTAGCGCTGATTAGGCCTACTGGAGAGAAGAAAGCCTGTTTGGAACCGTAAAAAATAGCTATCCAGTATAAAACTGGTTAAAGACCTATGGGTGGGCTAGAATCAAAAAAATCTACAACCCCTGACCTTGATATTTTGGTTTCGCGCAGTCGTTGCGTTGACAACGGTTAAAATTCGTTTTATTCAGGTTTCTTGCTCCAGGTCGATGCTGTTTGCTGACCCGTTTACAAATATTTTCAAAGTTGTCGTTTTTAAAGCTTTGGTTTCACTATCTTTCGTGTCCCATAAATTATATCGTGGTTTGGCGTTCGTGGTATCTCCGTAAAAACATCATGGGCCGCTTTGTCTTTACGTCAACTACCGGAGAATCGTTGTTGTGAACAACCCAAGAAGCATGTTTTCGTTAATGACCCCACTGTGAATACACGAAATAGTATTGTGTGATACATGTGTGGTTAGTTCTACAAGGGTAGCTCTCCCGTCTTCGTATTGTCAATGGTCAACGTAGCCAAGCCAATATATGCCGGATTTTCAGGTACACTATCGTCGGTCTCGTTGCCTCCGTTGCCGGGGTACTCCGCGAACAAAATAACTACCTTTGAAGTTTCAGCGGATTACCAAAATGGTCTGCACAACATTCTGAAGCCACTTTGGACCTCGCAATGAGTTTGGGTATTCATCACTGAATAATGATATATGTATGGATGCTTGGTCACATGATTAGTTTGCACCGAAGATAGCGATACTGTCGTTGGTGGTTATACTGTATGTCACTGTCGAATGAGCGTGGCAATCTGGCACTGCACTTGGCCTTTTTCGCTGGCAGATTGCGCTAAATTATTAGGTAGACATATACGATTCCGTTTGAACCGGTCTGAATCAGTCTTTGTATATCTATAGTGTAATGCTTGTTTGCGAAATTGTAAGTGGTTTTAACCCGTAAAGACCCCATCCGTGTTCTCGGTGGGGCCATTGAGGAGTATAGTAAAAGGAGACCGAAGAAAGTGTCTGTTTCCCTTTGCTAGTGGTCAGTCTACATGTAGAGTATGTATTCAGCCCCCACAAGATCAAGCCCTAGAACCGATCGCATCAGTTTTGAGGGCGTCCTTGATTTCGAATACAAGCGCCTGATGACCAACCTGTTCTACTTCCTGAGTCTGTTTAACGGTGGCACTGAAGGGTTTTTAGTTGCGAAATCAAGCAGATGAAGTTATGATGTGGGAGTAAACGGTAGGAACGAACTAATAATCAGTTTGTAAAAGGGAATTTATCATGGATTTTAATCCAAGCAGCTTAGTCTAATCCGTTCACATTCTTCAAATAATTTGTGGAAAATATTGGATGTTCGTTTTTTTTTTGTTTTTTTGGGGGGGGGAGACAGTTACACCTGGTTTTCCGATTCTGAAGTAAACATTTTGTTTCACATTTGGCAGGTGGTCCATTATTGTCGAAGGGCATCACATTCAAGCGTTACGGGAGAGTTGGTGCTTACAGGAGAGTCGGGAGAGATGACTATTGGTTTACCCTATTCCCTTTTGAAGCAGTGCGCGTCATCTGTGACATCGCATCTTGTTCCACATGCAGAAACAACCGCTTAGAGCTTGCCGACTATTACAGTGCAGAGCAAACCACGTCATGATCTGGTGCGTGTTCGCGAACAGATAGGCACCCGGTGACAACAAAGTGCAATGAACGAGAGCGCGTCTATCATGTAGGTTCTTGTTCTTTTTGTTGTTTGAGAATCTGGCCCAAAAGACAAATTTTTTACCTGAAAATGATGAGGCAGCAAAGGATCCTTTTAATATGCTCACACAGGCCCAAAAGAAACCGAATCGTACTTCCCATTCGAAGGCATACGCATTTCTGCTTATAAAATACCGCGATGGGGAGATTTTTAGGGCAAAAATCTTCTTCAGATTGTTTTAGATTCTTTAGTATTGTCGGGGCACACCATAAGCCGCATTTAGTTAATCTCTGTAATGATATGAACTAGAGCATACTTTTCAAGGTTATTGTCATAGCACCTAGCTATCGTTACTTTCAATGACGAAACGTTATGGCTTTGCCTTTCTTGCCTGGAAATTCCTTTGACAGAAATGTAAACCCGTGATGAATCGCTAATTTTTTCTTAGATTGGGAAGGATAAATTCCATAAATCTCATTATTTTGAACGATATAATACTGTCCCATTTCAATATGGGGATGATAAAGTCGGAATTGGCGGTGATAAACTCCCAGGTCAACGAATAGAGGCGCCAACCAGCAAGTACCCATCCGGTATAGGAAAACAACTCCCTACGTGGTTGGCGTTCGAGAAACAGGTGAGATTACAGCTTGTGGGTAAGATAAGGCCATATTGTTTGATGATATTCACATGCTTGACTGGATGGACGGCAGCCAAAGATTCAGATGAGAATTAAAGCTTACTTTTCACTAATTGTCGAGTTGTATGGTTTTCTGTCAATAGAATATGAACAGTTTCTTTTTCGTCTACCCCCTAGCAGCACACGCAGTCCAAAATAGCCGAGTTTTCCGGCTATACGACGGTTATATAACCGTCTAATAACCCACTTTTTTGGTGAACAGATTGTTGTTGGCACCAAGATAACCGTCAAATAACCGAGTTTTCCGGTTATTGCTCGGTTAAATAACTGTCAACTAACCGTGCTGGTCGGTTTTTGCTCGGTTAAATAACCGTCAAATAACTGGTTTCCGCTTATTGCTTGGTTAAATAGCCGTCAATTAACCGCGTTTTCCGGTTATTTCTCGGTTAACTAACCGTGTTTTCCGGTTATTGCTTGGTTAAATAACCGTCAAATAACCGTGTTTTTCTGTTGTTAAACGGTTAAGTAACCCGGTTTACTGGTAATTGGACGAGTAAATAACCCTCGTCAGTGAAATCACCACCATACTACCGTTAGTCGCTGTTACTGGACCTATTCTACGTCGCCATAACGGCCACGCATTAACCGCATTGTAGGGCCACGGAGAAGCTAAATAACGATGCCGTAGCATATTCCTTCCTAGAGGGACTATCTGATGGCTTCTTGACCACTTATTAATCGAGTTCAAAGGTTAAATAATCGCGCAAAACGGTTTGCGGTTAACAACCGCAACGTGACTGACCTACACTGGTAACCACACGCGTGCATATAGTCGTATCTATTGCAGAAAATAAACCTAGTAACGGGTTCTTAGAGAACACAAAACAAGGATAAAAATATATTTGATATACGAAAATAACTGCTTCACAACCAAACC